CGCGCTCCGCCAACTATACGGCGTGTATATACGTATATACTATAATATATGCAAATAAAACTCGTCCCGAAACGTCTATTAATAATTACTCGTCCAATATAATATCATTATTGCTTTGACGCGCGTGGTTGTTCCTGCGACATGAACGCCTGAAAAGTGTTTTATAAGTCCGTAGTATTGTATAACGACATCGCGAGCATTACTCCAAGCGTTATAAGTATTAGTGCGTGCCGTAATCTTTAAAATAACAATTTTTTTTTTTTTTTTAATTCAGAGAATTAACCAACCTATACAGCATGTAGCGCAATAAGCAATAAGCCGGGGTATAGGGCGACTGAAGTTGTCCTCGTGTGATTTTACATGGGTGTGAGGTGAGAAATATTGATAATATACGGTACCTCGTCAAGAAAATAAAAATAATATTTTAATAATATTCATCGTACATTAATATTTATTTTTTAACATGATAATATATAAACCTGAAAAAACTGATGTTGTGTTAATCGTAATATTCGTAGCATCAAGCTGACGGTCGTTTATAAACCGAACACGTATAAGTAATATGGTATTACATTATAATACTGTGCTGTCATGCTAAGTTTAGTGTTTCATAATAAAATTGTCATCATAGATGAAAATATGTAAATTTAGATATATCGTTTAAGTTTCATATTTTTTTTCTTTTTTGGTCACAATATTTTACTTATATTCGTAGAAAAAGCTGTTAGGTAATATCCAAAACTAAAATACGCGCTGTTTTTGATGCTCAACACAGTGATATTAACTTATTTTTCCTATACGCCATACTATCTTACCCGTATTGATAAACACTGAAATTATGTAAAATGAATAGTGACGATCCGGATTAAAACGCGATTTACTGTATTAATGTTTTGCTTTTTTACAAAAAAAAATATATTATTTTTAGAATTTTGTTCTCCATAACTTGCAAATAAAAATACTAATGAAAATTACTACACATATTGATTTTGTTTGTTATTTTAAAACATAAAGTTATACAGTAATAATGGACATAAACACATAAGAATAATAACTATACACACAAAAACACCTTAGAAAAAAATGTTTTGATATTTTATTACAGTTCTACAAATATCTATTTATGTGAACAAAATGAATAATTTTTCGTGTTTGTTTTATCCAATGTTCCTCTACGAAATCCTTTGTGCTGTTAACTCTTAACGTTAAATTTTTTTTTTTTTAAAACAGTTCAGTATTAATTATTAATGTATGTAGTTTTGGTGTTCACGTCTCTGTTTACCTATTTAAAAACACGTCTGAAAAATGTGTATCACTTTAAATTTCAAAGTAATAATATATAACATCTGCTACACGTTTAAAAAATATCTTATCGGTTATTGACACATAGATACTTATAATGGCTATAATAATTAAACTCTATCGGTTTAAATATTTTAATTGCACGTAAAAAAAAAAAATCGTTAGCCGAGTAATAATGTGTTAAGTAATGGTGTAGATACTTTTTTACTTTTCGTTTGAATTAAAATAGATATTCTACATTTCCTATCAATTATTTTGATACGGTATAAATAATGTTTTAGACTGTACAATTCATAAATTTCAATAGTTTCACTCGATCTTTCATTATACATTTATATAAATGTATATGTTTTAAAAGCACATAGTTGTAAACTTTGTTAAAATCTTCCCTCAGGTAAATTATGCTATAATATACTAATATGGTTTCGGGAATGTTCAGCATACGGTACGATGTACCAAATTGAATTACCACATACTTTATAATTTTAGTATAGTTAATATTATTTCAACTATTACAAAATGTGTATATCTATGTACTATCTTTATAAATATATTATGATATTATATAATGTACCGTAGTATTATACTCATCAGTCATCGTAATAAATACATGAATGTGATTCTTAGAATTTATGCATAAATTATATGAATTAACTAGAAACGTACTTACGTTGTACGCGTCATAGTTTTATATTAAATTTATTTTTTCTCTTGACATAAATCAAAGAATTGAACAAACAAATTTTAATCTTTCAACTCATTGAAATATTGAATTCAATATCATGCCGAGAGAGTTTTGAATGACACGAACGGGATGCAAAATAAATACAATTTTAACATTCAGATTGACGTTTGCCGGTACTGAATAGCGAGTGATAATATAAAGTAAAAAGTTTTTCGCGAATTCTAGCTATGACTTTACATCATTTAGATAGGTATACGAACTTCAAACAAAACAGTGCCGTGTCTATTGATTACGGATAACGCGAATGATATGAAAAATAAATATGATTTTCAAACTTAAGATCGACGTTTGCCGATATCAGATAGAAATTGATAATACAGAAAAAAAAAGTTTCGGGAAATTCAAGATATACCTACCATACTATATAATATACCTATACTTTAATTTTCAATGAAACCGCGCGCGAGCATTGATTGCTAAATGATAGTAATTTCCGAAGGGAACTGCCTCAAGTTAACAAAACTTTTGTGCGTTAACACTGTTACAAAAATGTGTATATATGTTCAATACATGTGTGTGTGTGTTCGTGAAATAATAATAGTATACCGAACAGAATGTTTTTGCTGTATGGTTTATGTGCCGGTCAAGTTTCAAAGTTCTAGGTCGAATGGGTAGGGCAAAAGTCACGAATGGGAAGTTAATCGTGAAACGGGAACACATCAAGACCAGACGCCAGTGTATACGCCCAGAGAGACAAGCTATGTTGATTTATTGTCTCGATAACATCGGATAGGAGGAGTACATGTCAAATTTTTGTTAACCACTTGTGCCATCATTCACAGCGAAAAAATCTCCCAGTTGAATAATATTGATGCACTTTTCAAACCATATATCTAATAAATATAATATAGGGGTCATATGTGTATAAAATACACGACAACCACAATTTTGAATTCTCTTCCACAATAAAGTATGGAGTATATTCGTATGTATATGTGCACGGTATCTATGTATATAAAAACAGCAATAGGTCGAATAGTAATCACGCGGAAAGTAATGTACTCGTATATATATAAGAACCAACAAACGCATCAAAGTAATGAACAAAATTTGAATAATTTTTACATTTTTTTTCCATGTTGTGTAGATATTTTTATTACATACAAACTAACCATCGAAATTACGTTACGATTATTGTCACATTGCACTTAAGAATATAAACCGATTTACAATTTAAGAAGATTTCCTATTTCATCCTATATAATATATTCTATTGCTTTCTCAGTATTATACAAACCATTCACTATATTATATTATTTTATTTTATGTCTTGTTATAATAGATTTGCCTTTTTCCACGAGACTAGCTTACCTCGACACTTGCGTGTAATATTATTTATTATTATTGCGTGTTCCATACGGCCGGCTGTGATACGATAATATATATATATATATTTATAGTTTTGGTCATATATTAGGTTCGATTTCGGTAGAAAAGCATTTACCTACAGCTTGTGTGTAACAATAAATCTTGCGAACCGTGTGGTCTTTATGCATTGCGCATTTCTCGGATTTCCTGCATCGCAAAAATACTTTTACGGTAGGCCCACTGCTTAAATCGCTCCTCCTTCAACGACCTACCAAAAACCCCATTTCCGATCACGTTCGTTTCGGTTAAATCTTCGTGACTGGTACTGATTTCCTCAGTCAATGTATGCCTTATTAAAACATATTTAATATATATATATATTATATATATAATATTAAATATTTTATTTTCACATTAATTTTAGTAATTATGGGACAGTATTTTAATATTGAATAATACATTTATATCGGCATAATTTTTTTCATTATTTGCTTTTTTCAAATGAGTAAATTTACCACAAAAATAACTGTATTGTTCTAAAAAAAAATCATTCTCTAGAGAACACTGCTGCGTTAATAAGTATATAGAAATTCAGATGATTATTATAATAGGCGGGAGAAAACAAAAGAGCTGAGATTTGAAACGAACGAATCGACAAGGATTTACTTTTGTACCGTGGAAGGCGTCTGCAGGGGCGTTAGGGATTATGTTGATTTTTTTGTGGGTGATGAACGGATGGGAAAACAGCTGAGGAACGGTAGCGCGTGCGTAATGAATGGAAGAATTATGTAAAAATAACGCGTCGGACCAAAAACGGCTGCGAGAAAGAAAGACGCGCCAGGGCGATCCCTTCATCCACCACCATCACGGCACCAGTCCGAGAGCCTACTGCAATGTGTATAGTCTGTTTTTCTTCTTTTAATGATTAACAAACGAATGGATGATGATGTCCGTAATTAGTTTTCCCATTAAGAACTATTTGGACGGCGAAAAAATAAAAATAAAATACCGAGTTGCTCGACGGTCTACCGTCCGCACAATCCAGCATGCCTCTAAAACGAGCAATTAATCATTAATTAAGCGTACATAAAAAAAAAAAAAATAATAATAATAATAAAATAAAATATTGTACAAATAAATAATAATAAAAAAAATGTTCACCAAATCGATCAAGTAAAAAATTTAGTAATCTCCGACTAGTATATATTTGAGATAATAATTTAAGCCAGGGAAACGCAATTATATCCATTACAAGTTAAATTAAACTGCAAGAACGTCAATTACTAAATCTAATTATTATTCTTTATTTATATTCCTGTGTGTTTTTAACTGTTTAAATAATGAGCCATTAACAGTACCTACGCAAAGATATAAAAATGTTGACTGCGGGTGTGTGTATTATAAACAATTTTGTTATTTTCGAAGTATTCGTTTTAAATATATTGTCTGTGCCTATGATATATAGATAAATAATATTTAAGACTGTACTTTGCGGAGAAATAAGATTTCAACCCATTATATATTTTTATGTACAATAATTTATTTTTACTTAACTGTTGAAATCGATAAAATACACATGATGTGTTAGTCGTAAAATTATAACATAATAATTGTATTTTGTTTTGTTTGTTTTTCTCGGACGCAGTATAACATTAAGAAGAAAGAAGAATTACCCGAACCGGTACAAGAAGAGCCCGCCAATCCGTTGATGCGCAAAAAGAAAACACCCGAAGAGTTGGCCAAAGAGGCAGAAATGGAAGAAGAGGACGAATTTACGAGTAAGATAAATACTTATATATTTCTATTCACTGTTGGACACAAATAATAAACGCACAATAAATATACGCGTGTGGGTGGATATATGCATTATAATATTATATACTCGAATCGAGAAACCCGAAGCGTACTAAAACGTCCTCCGGTTATTTTATTTGTAACCCGAGTCTCACCACCGAATTTGCTCATCCATGACTACACCGAAATACATTTATTACGGACGACGGCCGTTAAGTAAAACTAACGTTTGTAATATATTGTATGTATACATACTCGTATTATAAATATATATATTCGAGATGCAATCAACGAAAGAAAAAAATATATTACACCAAATGTTGGAGCCATGGCCACTTTGGAACCGTTGGTTTTGTTTATTCTCCAAATAAAGAATAAAGAGGCACAAATTTTATTTTATAAGCTTTACAAACAAAATATCGAAAAAAAAAAATGACAACAACAAATGTTATTGTGAAATCGTTAGAATCAATTTTAAATCATTATTTATTTTTTTTTTTTTTATTTTAACTTATAGGTACAGATTACAAATATAGAAAATAGAAGATGAAATGAAAAAAAAAATTCTAGTGTCGTAAATTTGAAAAGTCCGCAATTCTTTTCTCCAATATAGAATTTTTTTTTTTCCTTTAGACAGGAAGTAATAGTTGACAACATTTCTTTTCTCTCCTCCCACCACACACACATACACACTTTAAAGTGATTTATACAGTTGAAGTTTATTGCTACTTTTGTTTTATTCATCGTAGTCCAGTGTTAGCTTTACAATATAAATAAACACACACATACACACACATATATTTATTTATTATACAGTTAGGTGTCCGTAATGTTTAAAAGAACACTATTTATCGTTCAGTCGTCCGAGAAAAAAATCGCTTTTCCGTCCGCCTTTAGACCTTACAGGATAAACAGTAGTATATTATAGTCTCCTCATCAGTATTAAACAGACATTTAGAACACTTTCGTCAAATAGCAATGATAATTTTTGTGCACTTTGTCACCACCTAATTTTAGAATATATATAAATAAAACATTATTGAGGTGCTTATACAACACCGCAACGATGATTTTTCGCATTTCGAAATGATTTAATTTATTATTATTATTATTATTATTGCTAGCGTGTACACGTCGTCCGAGCTCTAGAAATTCCACGTCATAAAAAAGCCTTTTATTAAACGGTCTCTCCCATTTAACAGAATTAAAATTCGAAAATGCCATTTTCGTATAATATTTCGCCACTCATCTAATTTGATCATTTGGGTTTTACGATTTATCTGAAATCGTATTATTTATAATACAATACAAGCAGTACCTTGGAGGACCTGCTTTACTACTTAGCAGGTATTACATCGTTTCATTTAATCTCTTACGCACAAATTTCCACCATTTATATATCACGCGTACGGATTTCCTCGTACAATTTTCCTACACCAATACTAGTTTAATATAGGTACGAAAACTACTTATAATTTCACATTTAATTTTATACTGGTATTTTATAATAATATCAACTTCAGCGTATCATAAGGTCAAAATTATTTATGTTATAATAATTTTAAGGGTATGATGTTGCTGAACACTACCTTTCTATCACAGTACTGTTTTCGTTTACATATCATAATATAATCTTAGAATATTTGTGGAGTATAATACGAGCTTATCTTTAATAATATTCAACGGGAACAAAAATCTGCAACTTACGATGACATAACCACAGTGTAAATCTAGAGACAATTATTAGGGTAGTTTTTAATTTTCTTTCGTCGTTTTAAGACAATTTTAATATAATAAAAACATTATGTTCTTTAATATTTTTAAGATCATGGATCCATTTATTATTTATTATAGATAATCATAAGATATATTTTAGGAGTTATAATATCCACATTGCGTTCTTTGTACTTTAAATAATAACAAATTCGAAAATGTTATTCAAAAAACAACGCGCTTGTATCTTACAGCGATATTTAATAGATCGTATTATCCGTTCCATGAAGTAAACCGAAACTTTAAAGCAGATATTTTAAGCGAAATATATGTATTAAAATTGAAACGATTAGTTTAATAAACATATTACACTCGATGAATTTCTGTTTATACGCCAAACGAAATAAATTAACGTTGATCTATTGAGGCGTTCACAAATCGGATCAACTGATTAATATTTCCAATTAGATTTGAGAACGCGAATTAAATGCCCGAAACGAACGCTGGGTAGTTTTTTAACCCTTTCAAACAAAATCAATCTCGTTTCGTCCAACTCAGAAATAATAATTTATATACGGCTCATTCGCTGGCAAACAGTGATAATTGCCTTGTCTAAACGCGGTAGTTGATTAATTTTTTCCTCGGTCGGCTCGTCTTCATTTACATTAAATTTATCAAACGTAGTTCATACAACATAAACTCTATTTAATGTGGTTGCAGCGTGTATGAAGTGCATCAGTCGAAATAATGAATTAATATGCTAAAACTTCTACGACGGATAGACAGTATCAGAGCAGACTCGAATCGTAAAATAAATTCGTACTCGTGATTTTTAAAGAGCCACCGTTGGGCTTGCGCATAAACGAAAACAACGACTCTGCGAAATTTAAATTCGTGTACGAGTACACATTGCTATATTGTATTGTTGTAATAACTAAAATAAAAAATAAGTAATAATAATAGTTATAGGATGACAATAGCTTATTGACACAACCTTTGTGTACGCCTACATTAGTAGGTCAGATGTTTCGTCGAAAATAGCCGTGAAAGTTGACAAATATGTTTATTAACCACATTGAAATATTCAGTGACAGTGTACATAATTGTGGTTTTTCTAATACAGTACAACATAATATTTTACTGCGATAATATCAGCTCGAATTTAATGAAAAAAAAATAAATTCAATCGATGTCGAAATAGGGTGAAGTCAATACATTTATTCCAGGCTATTGCGTGAAATAACACTTAGAGTTTCCAAAATAAACTTACCGTACAAAAAAATTCAACTTTTTAAGATTAAATTACAGATTTGGGCTACACCACTGAGAAGTATTGCGTTAAAATGATATCTATATTTTTTCCGAATTCGGGAAACACCAGAGCGCGATATTATATATGCCATATGCAAATGAAAAATAATTCCCACTCGCCCCAACTTATAATGTATATTATTATATTATTACTGAAAGTAAACGAATAATCATAATAATAATACGATTTTCGAGGAGTATAATATATTAATGACACTTTAATGAAAACACTGCAAAGAGCAGTGTAAAACTGATAAGAGAGATAAGCAAGTTTCGGATTGGAAGCTCGCAAGCGCATATTATTTTCTGGTATGATAATAACTATGTACCGAAAACTTTTGGCCATCATACACAACAACCAGAGGATTAAATCATAATAATTATTACTATAATTATATCTAAATTTAATATAATACTACTCACCCGAAAATGAATGGGCGTTTTTTATTTATTTATTTTTTTTTATCGCATTATTATTCTAATAAATATACCACCGTTGTTTGGATTTATATTTATTTTTGTTTACAGAGTTGAAGAATACCATAGAAACACAAGTAAACGAACTCAAATCTCAAATCGAGAGCAAGTGCAGTCTTCAATAAGATGTGTTCAAAAACGATGTGGAACAAATAATAACCCAATGAATAAAAAAAAATAAATAAATAAATACAAATTTAAAATTTAAAAACTATAAGAAACCTAAAACAGCGTAAATTTTCAAAAAAAAAAAAAAAAAAAGAAAAAATATTGTGATTCAAACCCATTTAAAATAATATATTACTATTATTATAGAACATTATTATATTATGATACAAAAATATATGTGCGTACGTGACACGTGCACGTGTATTTATATATATTATAAATATTAGAATTTAAAATATTATAATTATTGTTGTTGTTGTTATTGTATAACATTTATAAATGTCGAGTTAGAATTTCAGCAGTTTTTAAAATGAAATCGAAGTAAAATATATATTGTTAATTTTTTTGAAATTAAAAATTTATAGAGCAATCGAAGTATTAGCACACGTCTTTTGAATCTTTACTATATAATAATAATATTATTATAAAATATATTAATACGTAACAATATATTATCATTTACATACATTCGATATACGTGTTTACGTGCATACGCGACACGTCATGTATATGATATATATTTTACACATTCACGTTCTAACGTATTTTTATTTAAAGTTATTGACTTTCACTCGTTCAATATAACAATATAATATTATATAGATGTGTATAATAGTAGTTTGAGGTATAGCGAGTACTCATATACGGTCTTAATATAATAAATACGGGTTATGATGTAAAATAGATGTAACCGTGGTTTTTCGTAATTTCACTCATCTTAAACAAACTAAAAAATAAAAAAAAATTAAAAATAATAGTTCGACAAAACATTTATATAATATTATGTTAGTATGTTTTTTTTTTTACCTTGGAGATCAAATGTTTCATCATTTTCTTTGTAGAATTTATTATAATTTTTTTTTTTCGAGGGACGACAATAATAATAAAAATAAATAAATAACATAAAAATAAATAAATAACATAAAAATAAACACAATATTTATGCCTCGTTATTAGCCGTTCTCTGAAACACGGTATCCCATCATTCTGAACAATTATTTAACGTTTACAAAATAATATTATAATTATATTTTATTTCGGTAAACAATTATTTTTGTATTACTTTAGCTTAGTTTGGTTTTTGTTAAAAGACCAACGTTTTTGTCAATTATGTTTAATGCGTTCTGTTTCTCATCGTTTCGTTTCGTTCTCCCAGCTGCACAATAAATTGTCATCGTTACATGCATTATTATACCGTTAAATTATTATTATTACTATTATTATAATTACGAGTATACATGTTATGATATTATTATAATGTTATGATATACTTTTATATCTTATCTTACTTATTATTTTTTTGGTTATACGTCACAGTTTTAAATCTCTTATATTATTTACATACTTTTTTTAGATTCTACTTTTTAGATTACACTACGCGTTGTGTATTTCAGCTGGACCCAAGCTTTTACGTTTCGCTTGTTTTACGGGTTCTTTGTTTATTGTGGACGTTTTAAAACAAAAAAAAAAAAAAAAAAACAATTAAAAATTAAGACACCGTTTCGAACTTCAAACATATGCCGTCTTAGACTGTTCTACTAAAGTATATACTGTTACTCACTGTCTCTCATTCTTTCTCTCTCTATCTCTCATTCTGTTGCAAAAATTTAAATTTGGAAAAAAAAATATAATATATATATTTGTTTAAAAAAAACCAGGCTGTGAATATTCTCAAACGAATAAGCTATTTGCCATCTAACTTTGTTTTTATTGTTTTGCAGCATTCAATCGACGAATGTGTAAAAAGTAATTTCATAGACTGCTCAAAATTATCTAAATTAATATTAGAAAAAAATATTGATTAAATTATTTGTACTGATTGTATATTGAATTATATAGGTGTAATATTGATAAAAATTAAACATTTATATAAAATTTTAACGACAAACCTAAAATAAATTTTGTTTGTACCAGTCGAACGACTCCGGTCAGCACGATCCACAATAATATTAAATAACAAACATGCGAAATTATATAATTTTATTTTAGTGTAAAATATACCATAGTCATACAATGTGTAAATAGCGGTTTTGTGTTAAAATATTAGTTGTTATTTTTTTTTATTATTATTATTATTATTGTTTTTATTTAGAGTCGTATTATATAAATATATATATATATATATATATTATACAATTTTAAATATTTATTGGGATTTTATATGTAGACACGTGTTATTTAATAATAATAATAAAAAAAAACTTATTTATAAAGAATAGACAATGTAAGAAATTTTAGAAAACAAAAAAAACTTCTATTACTTTAAATTAAAATTATATATAAAATGTATTCTATAGATGTTTAATATAATATTCGTATGTACGAATCAATGATTTCCGTCTGTGTTAATGGATTCGAATTCTTAGTTAGTAATTTTATTTATTTGTTGTTTATTTTTTTAGAACTTCGATGGATGTGAACCAGTAAAATACGATTGTTCAAAAACCCATTGTTGAGTTTTACGTTTCATCTTCCCATTCACACTATCCTCAACAGATTCTAATATAAATATATATACGTACGTAGAAAAAAAAACCACGAGCATCTTTGGTATACCGTTGTAACTTGTTGAATTTCGGTCATGATGATTAAAAAAAAAAAAACCTATAAAAAAAAATACACAAAAGTCAAAAGTCACTACGTTTAATCATAATAATACGTACAGATAGTTCATAGTCCCGGAAACTGACGTTTCACGGTGCCATCGAATTCATTGAAATAACAAGGACGTAAACAAAAGGGTAGAGAGAGAATAAAAAATTACATATTATTATTTTTATTATAAACGATATAACGTTTTCATTTGGGAGACGGATGATAAAAATAATTCCGACTCGACGGCGAAGATTTATGGGTCGTTAAGTCTAGGTGCAGAAGAAGAGACACTATTATAATATTATACTGTGCGTACAAAATAATATTATAATAATATACGGACCAATTTATTTCAGTTAAAAATAATTTTAAATTAGCTCCGATCATCAGTGGAATTAATGTGATAAAAAGAACGCCTGGCCATCCCTTGATCACACTTTCTGTCCAAAAGTGGATATTTCGTACACCTCTGCTTCCGCCATGTTCGACAACCGTCATCGACGTCAAATTTCGTTCGGAAATACTTTCAATTTGTTTTAACTGCGCTCGGCGCCAGCATTCACAATTTCTAACAACACCTCCGTTTCTCGGTGGTCATTATATTTTATTAATGTACCAAAGTCTCGTTTGGCTTAATTGAAGCCCAAAAATACGACAGGCAGAGGAAATTTACGATTAATGCCACCTATCCTTAACCTGCATCCCGAAAACTCAAACATTTCTTACTAAGGAGATCGCAACGCATCTTTTCGGCGATCATAAATACAAACGCTGCATTGTATATCAGGATGCGTGTTTATCACCATGTACAGAACGGGCGCCTGTCGATTAATATTTGTTGAATTTGAATTCACCAAATTAACCATTTGTGAAAGGTCAAAAATCGGTCTTAGCTTTCCAGCCGAAGTCTGGTTCGTCAAGCACACGTGGAACCAAAAATATATTTGTCTTTAATAACCTATACATTATACATATAATAATAGTTTCAATTGGTCTTAAACCATAATTCGGAATTTAAATGCGATTAAAAGCTCTCAAATGCGTGCTACAAAAACGAACAATGCCATATATAAACAAAAAACTTCATAAATAAAAATAAAGTTTTATCTTCAAAAGTCTTACTGATCAAACTCCGTTCGATCAACAAACGACCATATTGACACTTGCATAACACAGGGTCAATTTTTTTTTACATCACTATGCTATAAGACTACTCTTTTTTGACTAATTATTCATATAATTAATAATATTATCTTACACGATCAAATTATCTATTTTATGTGACGTCTAAAGCAATTAAGGTATCCTAGGTTCTACTAATTTTACTGAATATAATTATTCACAAAAAATGGTGATCAGCAAAGTGACTGTAACCTAGTTGTTAATGATAATTTTTTTATCTTTGAAATAATATTATTTAGAGTATTTGTATTTTATTGAGTTTATGGATTCGCCACTGTTTATAATCTTTGGTAATATTTTATTTATTTGATTTTATGTACATATTGGTATGATAATAACCTACTAAAAGAATGTCATAACTCAGTACTCACAAGCACAAATACGATCTCTAGGAATATAAATTATCCATCACCTGAGGTGTAGTAAAAGGATCTAAGTTTGAAAACAGTCAAAGCACTTTATTATATACTTCTAATTAAAATCAAATAATACTTATTCAACGACTCAGAAAATACAAAAACCCAGTTAGTGTTTTTTTTTTTCTCAAAAATGTTGATGTCTAATTTTTTTACATAATATTATAAGTTATTTTTATTGGTATTTTATTTACAGAACGATCACTGCTAAGTTCAATATTATTATCTCATTTCATACAACAAAACATTTAAATCTCCAACGACCGAAAAATTATTCACTAGAATATCGTATTATTTTTCAAATATATTTAAGTAATGAATTTTATTGTCATGGTAACACGGCGATTTAGATAGGCAATTTAGCTACATAATTACTGCCGTATACTAATTTTCAATAAGATGTCATTATTACATAATATAATGTTATTAGTGACATGACAAAAACTGATTTTGGAAGTCTGTATCTCAGCCAAAATCAATGGGAAGGTTTAAGGTGGTCTAATGTGCTATGCGTAATACAGTGTATAAGTCTGAAGTCAGTTTAAGGTAATAAAAATAAAAATGTATTACGTTTGACTTGCCGAACAATTTGTAAAAGTGTAGGTTTTATTATACTACTAGATACTTCTACCCGTGACATAGCTAACAAAAAGTAAGTTATATTATGCTTTTGAGTTATATTTCACATAGAAAACTGTCTGTTTTAGTATCTACCATTATGTATCACTATATTATTTCTCCTGTTAGACTTAACGGCGTATATATTATTACAGTTATTAATTTATATAATGGTATTTAATAATAAGGTAAGTTATTTTTACTATATCTACTTTTCACGTATGTTTAATTGTTTAATCTTTTTAAATTTTAAATGAAATTTCATTAAATTATACAAAAGACAAAAATTAAATAATAGTAATTTTATTGTTAGTGATACTACGAAAAATTTATGAATTCTCACTCTCATCATCAATAAACTATTTCAGTTAATAAAAATGAGAACACATAATAATAACTAACACAAAACTAAACATTACAACTTACAAGGTTGTAAATTTTTCCTTTCTATAATTAATATTTAGTTAATCTGAGACATATTAAATGTAAAAGCTATTTACAAACAATGACATGTAATACAAAAGTGTTTAGCATTTGTTCATATTATTCCATGTATAATTCATTGAATTTAAAATATTAGTATACATATTATTATTAATTATAAGCTTACAACCCTAAGTATATAAATATATTATTATAAAATAATCAGATTTATAATTTTTTTTTTTCAATGATAATTGTTTTTAAGTTATTTTTTAATTTTATGGATAAAAATATTATCATTTTCTGTATTATATAACAAGTTTATCACCTATAAATTTTAATATTAGTAACTCTAATAACTTTATTACTTATTTCATGAAATAAAAAATGTGATAAATCTGTTGAAATTGAAATGGTAAATATATTAATTCTAACCTAATGACAAAAAGTTCAAAAACATCAGCTAATCATGATTTACAAAAGGAAAAAGAAGTTTTTATTTCAATATAATTTTTAGTTAATGTCAACATAAAGTAAAAACTTTGAAATCAATTTTTTTTTTTTTTAATTAACTTTATTAAATTTAAAACTTACAATAATACTACTATGATATGAGTAACTATAGTCTATAACATTAAAAAGTGCACGTTTGTAATAATCTCATAGTTGAGATAATATCAAAAATCAACTAAAAAAAAATTAATTGGACTATTTATGCTATATGCAATCATTTGTTTTCGTTAACAGATAAAGTTTGTTAAAAAACATCAAATCGTGATAATATATAAATTATGTAAAATTAGCGCACATATACTATACAAACGACTAGATGTGCAAACTTATAAGCGATTATGGATAATTCGAAATTAAAAAATTATTGACTGTGACGGAGCCATTAACAGTTATTGAATTATATATTGGGCATTATTTGCGTGATACGGTGTACCGTAATATTCGTTAATAATATTATGTAAATATATTTTTTACTCGAATGAACATCGATAAGGATTTATAATATAAACGCTTAGCTGATGTGAACGGTAATGTTTATGAAACTTCTGTCCGTTACGGATTTTGTAGGACGCAATTATGTATCTTCACGAACGTCTCGGAATAGAACATGGAGCACACCGCGGCGTTGTTGGCGTACGTCATTTCTGGGATTTTGTGTTCTGGGTTGACAGACACCTGTAACGACAAAAACATTGTGTCATGATGTTATAACGTATAACATGCCATTGGATTGGATTTGTTTGATTCAATTGGATTGCGTTGTCACAGGCAGGAAACTATTTAATAATAATAATTATATGTACTCCGCAAACGAGTGTGAAAGACAGTGAATAGGTAAGTGCTTTGTGAAAATAAAATTGTTTCTCGATGACAGTGTATTATTACTATATAAATTTGCAATAGTAGTGAACATTTTCGTTTACGAATGTTTGGCGAAAACAGAAATGTACATAAGTATATTGACGTGTACTTTATTGAAATATATATAATTTATTCATAGAAATATCGATTAATAAATCATCCTACTCCTATAATTATAATGATAATCGTGACGAAAGCATTCTGATGATATAATATAAATAGTGACATGGTGGGGAAATTCCCGGAATCGATAATCTGTGTGTACTTATCGAAATATATAATATAAGCTATACAAATGAATTATTATTTGACTATTTTCAGTCGCACGTCTACAATACTTATTACACTGTTGGTCGATGACTGAACAGTTATCGTAGTATTCCCTATATAATATTTTACCTTGCCACACCATTTCTTACAGTTATAGTTACTGCATGGCATAATACGTATTATGATAACAGTGAGATCGATTAATCGGCTTTTAAAGAGAACAAATAAAACGTTATCAGGGAGAATAATTTTTGAAACGTATACAACTATTTTATAGGTGTTAACTTTTCAGTATTTTTAATAATACTATATAAAACAGTTATTTAATGTATAAAAATTCAAGTGTTTTAATTTCGAAAACAATCGAAATATTTAAGTAATAATAACAACATCATTTCATAGGAAATCTATTATTATTTTTTTTTATTTTGGGTATTCACGTCGTGAAAAAAATCAGTGTTTTTAAAACCATATCAATTCGAGTTAACTCAGCGATTTTACAACCAAATTAATAAACATCTGTAACCGATCTAGTAACCGACCATCTGATTCATAGTTATCCGCATTCTCACCTTGAGTGTGTACAGCCCTGGATTCAAGTCAGTCACGTCCACCCACTGACAGTCGATGTTGTGTCGGTAAATGTCCGAACAGTTGACTGATATACCCTGGTCACCGAAATCAGCGCACGCAAATGACGGCCTAGCTCCGTCTGTGCACTGATTGTCTTCCAGACAAAACGACGCCTTGTGTCCCTCGGCAACCTTCATCCCATTCTCGTCTAGCACGTCAAAAGTAGCAAACACTTCCATGCTATGATAATGCCTGCAAAAACAAATAAATATAGTGACTATTCAGATAAGTACTATAGATATAGATTTTTTTTCTAAATGAATAATTAGGAAATATTTATTTTCATCTTATCTTCTAACGTCATGAAATATATTACAAATTAATCACAGATTAATTTATACATGAATTTTAAATTCAAAAAAAAAATTTCTATTTAAAAATATTGTAACTTCAATCATTGTGGTAATAAAGGATTTCTACCCAGTACCAAATCTAGGAGGGAAGTAAGTAATTATCTTTGCCCCAGATGCTCTATAAGTGCACTCTCAAGCTTATGAAAAATAATTAAAATCCATGAACATAGAGAGTATATAAAAAACATGTATAAATTATAACATATTTCCAAACTTTCATTAAGAAATATAAATAATATTACACATAAGTTACTTAAAAATATAATATATTAGTATTTATTATTAAACAATTTTTGTACCATGTTGACATATATTATTATATATAATTAAATAAGTATTTGTATTTGGAAAAAACTCAATCCCGACGAATCGTATATTATTTTAATTTTAAATTAAAGTACGATTTAATAGATTATATAAAATAAATATTTTTTATTTTGTGTTTTAACATTTTGTCTTATGCTAACACTCGGCACACCGCGTTGCTCTATCCATGTGAGGGTACTGCATTTTTATTAGCCCTGGGCATTAAATGTCCTAGATCCGGCACTGTTTCTACTATATATAATATTATAAATTAACCTATATTATATTATATTCTTTCAAACCATTGTTTGCATTCATATAGTATTTCATATTCTATATTTGTAACATATTTGTGTTCAAAAACAAAACAATAAAAACGCATGCACATTGTTAATATAACTATTGTATGATATTATAATATGTAACGGCATGACAAAAAAATTCTTGTAATATTAAAATATTTTACGTTTTCTTAATTCGATATTCTTAGAGTAGATTATTACGTATGCCGTGTCAGAGCCCGGAGGTTGGGAAATATATAACTAAAAAAAATCTTGCTGGTATTAGTCACGTAGAATCCTCAAAAAATCATATTATATTTCGGACTAAAAAAAAAAACTCTGGCCATTTGTACAGAACTATAATAATTTAGTATACAAGTATACTTTTGTGTCTTTCCCCGACCAATAGTATAGTTAGTGTTAGTACAATTTGATTTAGCACGCAGTCTTGTCGAGAGAATTATATAAAACATGGTGTTGTAAGTCCTCATCAAAATTACATATTTTGAATGACACATTATGATTTTTTAGGGTAATTTTTAGCGTTTTCGTGTCAATTTCTGTACAATATATTGTATCAATTCATAAAATTGGATATTTAAAACTATTTGTGTCGTGATTTTAAAGTAGGATTCTCTTAAAAAAAAAAAAAAAAAAATGGTTTTTTCTGTACTACTATATAGACTAATGTCTTGTTGGCTACACTAAAAAAATACGAAGCACTGCGATAACCCCATCGATCGCGTTGTTTTGATAGAAAAATACAAGAATAATAAACATAACAAATTATTAGTGTTGTCATTATATTATATAATATATATATATAATAATTATTGTGATCGAAACGCATGTACCCTGTGAGTCGTAAAATCTAGAAATAATAGAAAAAACTTACAAATATTATCAACCAACTAAGAATTACATCTTTGTTCTAATCGATATTAATAAGTTATTTTTGAGTTATTTTGATTATGTTATAATATTTGTATTAAAAAAAAAATCATTTTTTATATTTATCAAGACAAAATATTTTACACGGTTAGTACTTTATTTTGCGTTCCGTATTTAAATAAATTGTAAACTGTGACTAAAAGCGGACGGCACTCAAACATAGTAATAATTTATATAAGGTGAGTATTATATTATATGGTATTATTATTATTACCTGGACGTGACAGAATTTTATTTGGCTTTTTTTTTATCATTGTTATCGGTATTATCATAAAACATAACGAGCTCGCGTATAATGCTTCCTATATAATATTAAGATGATATTATCACATTTTTTCCCCTGCAACGAACCGTCGAACAAGAGTTTCTTATCCATATTCCACACGCAATCGCCATTTCTTCGTATTACAATACATCTGCGTTCCTTTGTTTTAGCTGTTGTCTTGGTCTCCCACTGCGCATACGAAAATAGATAGCCCAACATTCTACCTCTTCATACCTAAGTCATAACTACTCGTCAAAAGGGTTTCAAATTATATTTTGATCTAGGAATGAACGCATCAAAACGTGTAATTTAGCTGTAGGTAATTTATCACAGAGAAGACGAGTCGTAAACAATATTGTATTTTATATTTATGTTCTTCGTTTTTCATTTATCCAATATAGTTTACCACCGAAAATCAATAACGTTTATGACTGCCATTCGTTTTAGATCTACTAGAATTTACTCAATTGCCCTCAAATATATTCCTATATATATTTCTTTAAATTTATTGAATACCGTCACTGAATGTAAATGAGCATAAAGTGATTTGTACACACAAATAATTATTACTATGACCTATGACTAAAATTCTGTGAACTAATTTGTTTAGTTTTTATTGTTTTAAAATTTAATTTTCTCGGAAACAATAACTGTTAATACAACATATTTTTATTTATTTTTTAATTAATCGTTTTATTGTGTAGTTGTAAAAACTACAACTTTTATGTTATACTATTAAAACAATTCTAATGGAAGCACTAACATGTTTTTCAATTAAAACTTTTTTTCATTTGAATTAATATGATATTAAATAATATTGGGTGAAAATGGAATTATGAATTTTACGAATTTACTGGTTTTTTCAATTAAAAACATCTATTAATTATATTCAGAAAGTTTTTAAGTAATCCAATTATTCTCTGCTGAGACTAATATATTTTTCTTATATAATAATATAATGTGATTAAGACTATCATTATTTAAGATTCTCTGTATTATAGTCATTAATTTAACTTAAATTTTTATTGACGTTTTAGCTTTTACAATAAGTATAGTTTTTTTTTCTTATATACGAGTAGCTCATTAATTTTACCTCCCTCTTGTACTAAACTTGGCTATATTTTTTATGTTCTTATAAAATTTCTTGTTTCTCAATTTATTGATCAAATGTTATTTTGTTACTATGTCTTTATAAAAAATTATCAATAACAATTAATGTGTGTAATAAATACTTTAATTTAACATATTTTATATTAATTGTCTATTTTAAATAAACAATGTACCTATACGTCAAATATACTTCCTTGCATCATATCAAATTTTCAAAACTTATAAAATATCATAAAATAGTTATAATATATTTTTATTTATACTAAAATAATTTTCTTAAAGGAATATTTAATTCAAGATAAAAAAAAATAACTACTATATATAAAATGGGTAAATATTTAATGATATCAGAGAAAATAAAAGAAATATCAAAAAATAAAGAAAAACGTTTGTAATGTAAATCTGTTCGTATCACAGTCTTTGATCAACCAAAATTTTAAATCAAACGAAACAATCACAAAGACAAAAATTAAAAGTAGTAAGAATATAAAAATAAATTAAATAACTTGTATATGCATACTTAATTTATGGAAATTTCGTGAAAAACATTAACATAAATATCTGCAGATACATATCTGTAATTTCCAAAAAAATTATACTCTTTTTTAATAACTATAATAACTAAAAACTAGGTCACGCGTAACTCATCGATAAGTAAGAACGTAGAAGTATAATATTTCCATTGTGACCTATTAATCTTTTTCGATTTTTAATGATATTGCTGTTTGGGAAAAGGACTATAGACTATATTTCTGTTTGAAAGCTCAACAAATTTAATATCGTATATCAGAATTTTGAATAAATCTCAATATGAAAACTATGCTACTACAGCATAACATTTGCACAACGACAGATTACTGTCCTTCAGAATCAAAAATCAATTACATGTAAACAGCACGTTTTGAAAAAATATTGCATGTCTTTAGTGTATAGTCAATCGATGATAGTTTTAATCAAACGATAATAAGCAATGTATAAATGTTATAAATTATTTATGTAAAAAATAAAATTTAAAAGTTTAAGTAGTAGTAATATTTTCTAAGTGAAAAAAAATAATATATATTACATATTATCACTAGAAAGTAAATAAATCATTTTAAAAATATTTGTGATAATCTACACTAAAATGTTTAAATTTTAAATTCTGACATCGCAAAACAAATTTGTATCAAATCAGATTTTTCTCATCGACTATACGAGTACTACTGGCTATTTGTCTAGATTGTAACAGATTGAACGTTATTTTTCACCAATCGAATTCGTTCTCGACCACTACCAAACAATGGCCTAGTTTAAAACAGTTAATCACATAATTTTGTTTTATTTTAACGACAATTTTCTCGCTTCAGAAAGTATACTAAAATGAGCACCAGTCACTAAATTTAAATCAAAACTCTACAATCACGTAACAAACAAGTAAATCAATCCAAAAAAAAAAAAAAAAATGAATTACGTTTATAGATTACTCATGAAAAAACTTAAAAGTGAATTTTTTTCGAGCAATAACGCCAGATTTAAGTGTAGATTATGCTTTTCGAGGCTCGAATCAAATATCCACGACCTTACTCTCGAAATAATGAGAAAAAAACAGTGAATAAAATAATGATGATTCGATATTATTATCTCTTAAACATTTCATTCTTCCGAGTTTCCGTTTATTTAAATCGTTTGAAAAAATATATTTGTAATGCGAAATACGTAACAGGACAGTTATTAAACGTCGTACAAAATCTATAACAGTGAGCACTTAAGAGTATGGTCATCGAATTTACAGACGCCTGCTTGAAAATTCAAAAAAAATCAACAATCAGACGCATAATTTAATGTCTATAACTAGGCAAGCGTGTTCTCGACATCGGTCTGTACAACACTCAAAACACGGTTTCGTCGACTTAAAATATTTACATGTTTTAATAACTATAATATTGTATATTATTATAATTTGCTCATCATGTTTATTCATGGCCTGTCTAACACGTACATGTGACACTGATGAAACTGCCACAGATGTTTGGGCACGACCGGCCGGAACGGAGCGGTGCCGACGTTTGTGATTTTTGCTGTGAACCGCAACAGCCGTCGGGTAATCAGGTGCCAATCGATCTCGTCCCGGCGGATCTGGTACGCGGACGATGCCAGGCAATTCTCCTCCATGGCACACTGCAAGAAATACATCTGCCTGTCCTCCAGGTACGCTGATCTGATCAGTTCTTCGACATTCACCGCCAAATCCGCCATATCTGAGACAGACAAAAACAATCGTATTTATTTTTATTTTTTTCCTGTCCAAAGCATGTATTATTTAAATATTATACAGTGACAAAGAAAAGCGTATTGCAAAATATCGATTTTTCTGTACATTAAATAATTATTATAATATGCAGTACTCGAGGAAAAATCATATTAAAATAATAATTACTCCGACACTTATTCCTTTCCTTAGACAAAACTTTAATTTGTCTTGACAATCGACAATTAATTAATGGATTGATTCCCTAAACTAATATAATTCGATGTCACAGTATACCAGGTGTAGCCTGTAGACAAATAATCCTGAAATTTAGTATAAAAGCGTTTTCGGTAATTCCAACATAAAAGTTTTTAATTAAAAACGTTGGTTTCTTCACAAAATTCTTGTTGCTGACGATCTTTGAAAACAACGAGCCAGTAAAAAGCTTTTAAATATCATTAGCAACCTTTGCCAATCGTTCGAACACTTTCATTAATTTTATGAAGCACTTCTGTACACTTAAACAAAATACAATGATACCATAATAAAGACATTTCCCACTTAAAAAAAAAAAAGCAGACTTAAAATTACACCTTATACCTATGGCTTAATAAAATAAAAAATACCTTAAAGATAGTTAAAAATATATTCACAAAAAAAATGTAATCACTTAAGTATTATGTGTTTTTCGAGCTATATACATAATAAAAGAGAACACGTATAGGTACCCGATAATTCGATCATTGTTAAAATTGTTCAACGATAATCACACATAATAAATTGATGATGATGAATTGAATTTTTTCTCACTAATTTCTACAAGTTTAATTCAGTTTTGATACCAAAATATTCATTTTTTAAATTTTAAACACACACACACACACATATATATATATATATATATATATTTATTGTACATTTGTTGTTTTATTAATGATAATAATGACAAACTCAATAAAATGATGTAAAAACATTTCTAGAGATAGTAATATCAGTAATCTTATAGAAAAAAACCAATATTAAAAACGCGTCAAAGTACAAGTATACATGAAAATACCTATTCGTTATAAAATAAGTTTGGGGAAAAAAGGGTTTCTGTGCAAAATATTTTTCCGACGACAAAACTTTCAATTTATCTCGTTATGTATAATATACCTACTCGATATAACCTACTCGAATACCTATCTAAGTCACCCATATAGATAAGCGTTTACTCTTTTTCAATTCAGGGATGTTTTCGGTGAAAAGAAAAAAGGATACTCGTTCAAAGCAATCAACTTAACAAGTTCATGAGCTGCGTGGTCGGGTGATTTTAGCTGCGATTTGTCAAATATTTCAAACTCCTTTCTTTTACAAAGTTTGTCGACAAAAACATCACCACTTCGGTCGATGACTTATATGGAGTATATATATATATATATATTATATTGACGTAAAAATAAAAAAAAAACGAGTTTGAAGAAATTTAATTCTGACCGATAGGCCACTTATGGGTGTTTCAAATTAGGGGGATAGTCAATAATTGATTTAAAAACTATGAGGCCCGCCCTAATGTCGCCAATTTCGTTCATATTTAATACACTGTCCGTCAGTCACGGCAGTATAACGTATTTATCGAAACGCCAAACCACCACTGCAGATCGCTACCTCTCCACCAAAAGTTTGTCGTATCGGCATTGTCTCGTCGATAAATCATATGATTATTACATCAGAATATTACGCGAAATACATTTTTTTTTTTGCGGAATGACAGCTGTTAATAAAATATAATTGATACCATGTACTTGATAAATAAAAAATCCAAACGACAACGATCTGTCATCGTTTTGAAAACCCATAAAATGAAACATTTAAAGTATATACATGGTTAATTCTTTCTTAAAGACCATATTTCCAAATATTTAGAATTATACACCATTTATGAATAATCTAATGACTTTCGGTCAAACTTACTGAAAATTAAGAAACAGCTATTATTATAAAATAAATATTTAGATATTAAGCATAATAAACCAAAAACTAAAAATAATTATTATTTAAAACCTACTATTTAAAAAAAAACACACATATACACACACACTCAGCGAATTTCTTATTTAAACAACACTAATTATTTTGAAACATTAATATTTATAAAAGTTTTTTTTTTTCATAATTTCCAGTGGAAATAAAACAACATTTTTATAAAAAAAATTATTTTTTTTTAATATTCTTATTGTTATATTTTTTCAAGCTATTTCACTTTTTTGAATAGCCACATATTTTTTTAATTTAATATTGTACAGCAAAATATTTTTCAAAGTATTCGATACATAGAAGTTTAAATTCGTAACGAGTCATTTTTTTTTTTGAGTTAAAATAATTTTAGATTAACTAAGCAGTGTAGTAATGAGATACCACACAGACTATTGATTCACTACTCCGCTTTCCAAAACTTTAAATATTTATATACTATTATACTTATAACTCATAAATTACTTGTCTAAATTTCGATTTTTATGTATCAAAATACTCCAAACAATATTCTATTTCCAAATTTAAAATTTAAAATATATTCATCGTTAAAAACAGTAAACACTTAAGAAATTATAATGTTAAAAGTACTATAAAATATAAAAACTTTAAGAAAAGTGTCGTTTTATTCGACTGAAATTGATATTAAAAAAAATCTTTTTAAAACATTAATAGATTCAAAATAATTAGGGTTGTTTGATAAAAGAATTACACAAAATACGAAATGTTTAATAATTCCGTTTTTAATTTGAACATTTAAAGCTAAAAGCCAAGATCTTAATGTAATGGCTTACCACATTTTATGACATTACTATATGCGTTATCTCACTAAAATGTGTTATCAAATTTATTATTTTATGCCTAGAATTGTATTGTTGTTTAGTACATGCGTACTACTCAAAAATTATATTTATAATAATTATTCAAATTATATATTAAATTATAATGTTTTTATTGTACATGAAGATATAAATTCGTACTTAATGGAATTAAGAGTATAATATATACAGTTAACAAATATTATATAGTGGTTGTACCTAAATTTACTATAATAGTACATTTTTTATATTATAAAAATATACGCCTCATAAAAATATTAAATTAAACGCATTAATGGTTCAATGTGTAGGTACATTACCATAATATCATTTATAATCTTACTCCGTTGCTGAATTGTTGGACAAACTACCTGATATAATATCGTTTTACAGCATAATAATATAATAGGTTTATCAGTACTTTGAAAAAACCTTTAATACTGGATTAACAATTTAACTTAAAAATACAATTTATTTTTTAATAAAACACTAACGTTTTTTAAAATATATTTTTTTATGATTTTAAATTATTACAAAACTAATATTTTTTTTTTTAAACTACATACATAATATTTAGTTACATATTTCAAAACAGAGTATTTTGAATTATATAAATCTAATTTCGGTTAAATAGTTTATTAAATTTTAAAATTTTAAATTTAGATGAGCATAGTAGTAAAACAAGATTTTAAATATTAACCATACATTAAAACTTTAAATACTTATAACTTAGAAACTAAAACATAAACGACTTGTCTAAAATTCGATTTTTATACATCGAAGTACTCTAAAAAAGTTTTACTATACAGTGAGCAATTAAAAATTCATGATTTTTAAAAATTAAAAAAATATTAAATGTTATAAAATTATAAAAATTAGATTTTTGAAAATATTATAGTTTTGTAATAATACGTGTACTTTGTTAAACAGACCATTAATGTATACTTAGTAAGACCTATATATGGTACACATTTAACCATTTCTGTGAAACAATTTTGTAAATGTAAATTTAAACAGAAATAACGTGTATATTCTGTCGTTGACTTAGTAAGTACGCAATAAAACGCGTTTTACTAGTTGGTACGTTGTAAGGTTTCACGTTAAATATTTTCGTTGAAATGAAATATAAATTATTATCAGATCCAATTGCTCGTAAATATATTGTAAAAAAAACAAAAATACCCATGGGGAAGGGGGAGCTAGCTGTCGGGGATAATGACAGTTTTTAACACTAAATATCGTTCAGCACACATCATGAAAAGTGATGTTCAATTCAAAAAAATAAAATAACCCATCATTTCACTTTTGGTAGAGACATTTAAATCTACTGAAAATTTATATTCTATGAAACACACTAGTTTGCGCATTCTGACGAGAAGCAATAAAAAAAAAAAAAAATACAACAACACAATTTATTTCAGTGCAAATAAATTATTTCTACCCATTCTTGGTAACAAAACGTTAATAAATATTAAATAAATTATATATAAATATTTCAATTATAATTACACAGAATATAGGGATAGTGAGTATTTATATTTGTACACGTATGTATACATGTATAATGAATTTTAGCATTATTTCAATGACACTTAATGAAGAGTTGTTTACGACATGTTGGATTTTTTTTCTTTAGTAATATGTTTTTTTATAATTAAAAATATACTTGTGTGAATTGTTTTGTTATAAAATAAAATTTAAAATTTGACGAGTACCTAACCACAGGTTATGTTAAGTATTCATCTATTTATTCATTTATTTTTTAACTAAATTAAAATAAAGTACACTCTGAATATCTAAAATTATAAAAACCATTTCCATAGGTTAATTTCACAAATATAGGTCATGACAACTATGTTTTCAATTTTTCAAAAATGATTATTTTATATAACACAAATTCTCTATCTCTAAATGTTCATCATCAACGCTCGAATATTCAACAATACGTCCGATGCTACTTTTTATTTATACAACACAGTTTATAATATTTTTAATACATTTCTTGCAATCACCTCTGACTACTTAATGACTAAAACAATATATGACTATATTATGGGTACAGTATAAATCGACATATACAATATATATAATAAATATATTAATAATATAAATAAAAATAAAAATAATAAACAATATTATATTATATTATATTATTTTATATTAATATAAATAATAATATATAATATAATATATACAATCGTTTTATTATGATTTTATTTGTTTTTTCCTTGACGTATACATTTAATAAAGATGCTTTATAGCAGTTTTTTTTTTTTTTTAAGTATGCAATTTTAATATAGGATCCTTTAATAGACAATAAAGTTATGCATTCATATCATGAATAACAATAAACAATTTTAAAAATGTTCTAAAATATATTAATTTCTTGTTTATTATATCATAAAATATTATTAATATTTTAATGAAAAATGTCATCGAATGGAAAATAACTTTACCTAAAATACGTCCTGAAGGTAAAGTTGAACTCGTCAAAAATACATCACCTAAGCGACCTGTTTTTCATAATATCGTCAAAAATGGTATATATACCTATAGAAAAATGGTTCACGTTGTTTCCATGCAATCCCGCCTACCATATACACCATCAAACTAGCAAAGTGTAATATTTTGACGTTACTCTTGATGATCATTCAATATTATAATCAGCACTTTATGTTCTATGAGTGTATTTTAACAATGTTTTATAATTTATAATCATTGCCAATAAAACATTTTTGAGGTGAAACGATTTGTATGAATGATGAAAATCACTCACCTCGTACACACGCGACTGCGGCTACCGTCTCTTTCTTGGTTGAGCACGTGGCCTTATGCTGGTGATAGCAGCCAGCAAGCGACGACTCATTTCCGGCACATTCGACTGCCGACAACACGACTGGAAGATCCAGCCCACCGAACTGGTCTGTCTGGAAGGCGGCTGCTGCATACCCAAGTCCTATAGAACGACACACGATCAACGCTTCCAGCACTCCGAACCCGTCGCCACATATCACGCCCCAACCTATAGTGATGTGAACATTAAAAAACACAATTTTTATAGCTTAAATCAAAGATCAAGTAAAACAATTAGTAAAATATATGATTTTCCATCGAACAAAACATCAAAGTTTAAGTCTTAACTACACAATATCTATTTTTTAATTTTGAACACAGTTAGTTATTTTCATGATATCAATCATCGAGAAAAATACTTTTACAAGATTATCAATGAACAAAAAATATGGAATATTTAACAATTATTTATGTACAACTTATTATAAATAATTTAATGATAATAAAATTAGTGTACATTTCAAAGGGCATTACTAATTATTATATTACTCTAATTTAAACTTTAAATATTTATGTAAAAGAAAAAAACTTGATTTATATTATTTGATATTAAATATCAATACATTTTATACATTTATTACAAATACTATAAACGTGTTCTGTATCAGATAGTGAAATACGTAAGAATTATAAATAATTATTAAATAAAAAAAAAAACCACAAAACATTTATTTTATTTTTCTACAGTTAATTTTTTTAACGTCAATTGAGTTATTTTCAAATATACCGTTTTTTGAAGACAAAACTAAAAAAAATCAAACAACATAAGTTGTGAGTATTAGATGTAAAATAAATCACTCTGTATGTAAAATATACGTATAAAAACACCCACACCTATATAATAATTTACTATATTCTATCATTCTAATATTTCAATAATATATATATGTATAGCGGTGGTCTCTTTGTAAAAATATAGAACTAGAAGTTTTTTTTTTTTTTTTTTTAAATCGATAAGAACAAAAACGACCCTCTCTCAGCCCATGCCCGACCAAACACTCGAAAAACATTTTAGAATTTACTACTATAATATATACGCACACACATACACACCGCTCCATGTTCTCATTGTTTTCCCACAGACTCCTTTCTTCACCATCACCGCCCCGAAACCATCAACGCAACTCGCGCGAGAAAAACCTGATTCCCGCCTGCGCTCTTCCCGAGCTTTTCTTTTACTTTTTTTCCTTCTCTCTTTTAAGATAACTCGGTCTCTGCCGTCGTATTTTTCGTCGAAATGAAACTTTCCACGTTTGTTATAACACTATAATATCACAATATTATATTTTGTTGTATATATATATACATATATTTATTTTACTATATTTTACTATATTTTTTTATCACCGACTGGATCAAACATCATCGATAGAAGACGTACAAATATAATATGAGCGTAAAGCTAAACGTACTTACGTACAAATCAATTGACAAATTTCTTTTGTTTGTCTCGCGTATAATGTTTACTCGATGTACTTTTTCGATATTTTTCTCCTGAACAAATTGAACGAAAACTTTGAGAAAGTATAATATGCTGTATGTATAGCTGTGAAACTCATGACGGTAAGAGTATTTGTATGGTGACGCCGCGTGTTCCGAAGTATAAATAAAACTCAATCAAGAAACACCGCCACTCACCCGTGTGTGAGTATATCAACATATATCTATAATATCATCAAAGTCATAAAAAAGTCAGCGATATATTATACGCATCGGATCCGCCATCAACATGACACATATTCGATAAATATTATTATTGAATTTATAAATTTTGATGTCTCCGTGCCCTTAGCACTTTTAAATGATTCACGTCAAATACAGATTTTTATTTGGCACACGGATTGTTAAATAATATACTTATGGCTGTATAGTAAAATAAAAATCATACTATTACAAGCGTTAAATAACAACGGTAATACCGTCTATATGAATATTGTGATTTAATTAGAGGAGAACAATGTTAATTTGCAGTTTCTCGTGTATTTAAACTTATCTCGCAATTATCTACGAAACTAAGAAGTGGGGGGATTTTTTTCATAGAAATATAGGTAATTAACTGTAGTTTATAATATTTATTTGGAACCAAATAAATGCTATCCACCGAGCCCGGAAAACAATAATGCAATGCTTTATTATAGTTTATCGATTGATCTTACTTTAAATCGGACTTTTGGTACCTAACATCATACATCAAAGACATTCACCACAGATGACTGTAAATAAAATTTAACGTCCAAGTCGTATTTTTTTTTTTTGGAAATTGGTTTTTTCTTCGATTGTTTTTTACATTGACATATTTTTATGGCTTTGAAAAAGGTTGGCAGTACACTAGTCATAGTTATTACCAAAAAAAAATACTATATATTTTTTAATATTTTCATTTATTTCAAAACCTTATTATGAATTCGACATTTTTGCAAAAATACAGATTTCAGTTCAAGTTAATGACTTAATGTGTATCTACCAAAAAATTGGAGTTTTAAATAAACGTATACAAATTGATGATTTATTTTATTTTTTATACCTTATTTCTTAAACTATTTTTTCATAAAAAAAAAAAAAATTATGACATATTATTCTCATAAATATTCACGAGTTCGATAAAAATGTACTAAACATTTTAGAAAAAAATATTGTAGAAAATTATTAAAATATTAAATTTACACCACCGACCAAAGTAATTACTCGACAAAATTGTTGTTTATTTTAGCACTCTTATAAATTAAGTAATTTTTCTAAAATCAAAATCAATAACCAAAGTATCGGTTCTAAGTGTAGTAAAAACTAGAATATTATATATAATACGCGTTTATAAGTCTACCAGTAGCATTTTTAGAAAAAAAAATAACGGAACGTATGTAAATCAAAATGTTCAACATTGGAAGTACGTGCATTATTAAATTATAAATCATTAGCGATTGGTATTTAGTGACAGGGTAAAACTTTTTATTTATTATTGTTATTATTGTAATATGATGCAGCCCTAATTTTTGGCTAAATGTATCACAGTAGTATATTATTATTTATTGTTATTATTATTATTATTATTGTATAAAAATTTTGTTGTGTCTAAGTGTCTGTGCTGGGGCAAAAGGATAACCACGTTTACTTGATATGATGAAAACATTATCGTGTTAGACAAAATCAGTGCAAGTCTAAATTATGCAATTCCCTTACTGCATTGTGTTTCATTGTATAGTGGTAATTTCAATGTCCATCTACGACCAAATGATTAATTTATCCTATTAACTAATACATTATTATTGATTTAGTGATATTATATTCATTATATAACGTACTAACATATTTCAAAATAAACGTTTTCCGCATGAATTTAAACATCAACATTATAACTTGATATTGTTTTTATTAGCTAATTGTTTAATTTAATTTAATTTTGTTTTTTTTTTCTTTTAATTTTCATTATTAGGTATATAATTTTCCGTATAATTTTAACGTATTCCGTTGAGTATAGTATATTTTTTTAAATCTCAAACGTGTAGATAAAATTTTTCAAAAAATTTGCTAAACGTTTAAGATATTTGTTATGGTAATGATAATTTAGGCGGAATTCAGTAGATTTATAAGCCACCGTACAATGATCGATGTATTGTAAATTTGTTCACTGAAGAAAGCAGATTGGGAGACAGTATCGCCTTAATAAATAGTTATACACTGTAACGTTACTATATTCATTAAGTTAACGCTTGAAGTTCGACAAGAATACTTAATCAGCGTCGTGAGAGGGAACAAATTGCATTTGTTGATAATAATTAGGCTTATGGCTAAACAAAACGAATTTAATAGACATTCATTTTTAATTAACTAATATCCACGTTGCAGAGGCTTAACGCTTTTTAATTGTTCCAGTGTTTAAAACAGCTACCTACTTTATTTTCAAATAATTTTCAACGTTATGATGCTTTTATTTTTGTTTCATACCACCCCATTGAGATTTATTTTCATAATATTTTTTTTTGCGTTCCATACAATTAACTCACAGTCAATATACAATTTCATAGATTCAACTTCAATTGAATAAAAAACGTAATTTTGAAATTGTTTTATCTTCAAAACTCGATGGCAATGTTTATTGATTTTTGATAAAACAATATAAGTTATCAATAAGGTATACTAATTTATACTGAAACTAGCAAAATAATTTATACTTAATGTATCACGATAGTCAAATAAGATAATTTTCTCTTAATTCAAGATCCTATTTACTACGTCCTATGTTGAAATCTAAACTCCCAATCCATAATAAAATAATTATTTACAAATCAATGTTAAAACCAATCTGGTCTTGTGGAGCCCAAATATGGAGTTGTGCAAAACCAACCCAAATTAAAACAATTGAAGCATTTCAGTCCATTACCCTCCACACAATAACGTCAACTCCTTAGTATGTTTCTAACCACACCCTTCACAAAGACTTAAACATTGAATCAGTTGAAAACTTAGTTAAAACCTACTAAAAAAGTTTCATTCCAAATTACTTCATCATTCAAATCCTCTGATTGCAAACCAACACTCAGCCTTAATTCCAGATAACCCCCCTCGTCGCCTCAAAAGACGTTGGTGTTGCGATCTATTAAACTGAAACACCACTCCCTGTCCTAACTGTCACAACTCGAAAGGGTCCTATCACTGGATAGCTTCCCTTCACAAGTTTTCAAAGTCACTATTATAATGTTAACTTATTTGCTTATTGTATTTTATTATGTACAGATTGTAAATGTTATTTTGTTAATAAAAAAAAAAAAAGATAATTTTATGATATCACTTTAAAATTAATGGTTTTTTTAATTGCATTGAATATTTGATGTATTTGTCGAAAACAATGTAGATATTTTAAAAATGTATTGTTTATACGCATCGTAAAAAATACATTTAAAAAAACTTTCACCTTATAGTTACTTTATATTTTATGATTTCTTTACTAAAGATAAAATTAAAGAGAATAGTGTCTGTACGTTAAATAGTCCGATTTTTATACGAATAAGCTAATAAAAAAACGATTGTGTCAAAAGAAATAATCAAATAATCAATTCAAGTGATCTGTACAAATAAATATACGTAAAGTAATTTTATTTAAAAAACATTTCCACTGAATTTTAAAATAACTATAAAATATTTACTTTTATTTAACTAAATAGTATTGATATAGCTAGTATTACATGTCATTATTTTATAGGTAGGTACTACACAGAATGTACAAAAATATGCGCTTTCGTTGGAATTTCGTATAAAATGTTCGAATGTCAAAGGCATTAAAAACTACTCTTTTGTAATAAAGTCAAATAACGAACTACACTAACGAACTATAAATATTCACAAATGACATATTCTTGAATCAATTATTTAGTAAACGTCAAAACAATATACAAAATATATATGATGTTATATGTACAATACTCGATAAGCTTAAATATAGATATATAATTTTTGAGAATGACAATAACAATATTATACAATTATTATGTGGTTCGACATACCGTCATTAGTTTTTGCTTCCACTCTGCCTTCTTCCGATGTCCTGCCTCCAGCCAATCGCAATTCAATGTCCGATCCTGAAGTGTCCTGTACACCAATAATAAAATAAAATGATTTTCTATACTTCCAACTCTTTATTATGAGTTCAAGACTATGATAATTATAATATATAGTTTATGTACCTATGTAAAATATTTTTCACTATGATTTCTATACAAAACGCTTTTCTTTTTCTTTTCTTTTTTTTTTTTTTTTGGGGGGGGGGGGATCATATAATATTTTTCAACTTAATTAAAAATCCAAAATTATACGATAGCCTTGAGAATCATTAATGAATTTAATGGTCAAATACGTAATAATCAAATAACCAATAAAATGTCGCATTATAAGAATCAATTTTCACGAATCGGTTGTCAGAAAGTGAAATTAAATTTAAAATGCAGTGAACGCCTTAACATTATTTAGGTATAAAAATAAATAGAAAAGTGTTATTGTGATTACTTTGATCTTATACTTTTGGATGACTTTTTTCGCCGAAACCGTCACTGCAGGCACAGAGTATTTAGGTTTTTCAGGTTCCGGCGAACCGCATACTACGCCAGCTGCTTCAGAAGGATCACAATCATTTTCGCCCCAACTATCAAATCGACATTTAGAAATTTCTGTCTCTTGACCATCACACTGAGTATTGTCTATCCAATACTTTCCTACATGAACAGTTATAGTCATAATTATTAAGAATTGTTAGTTCTCGCCCACAGATAACTATAATAATAATAATAATAATAATTTTATCAATATAATCTAAGTATCATCATAGTATTATTATGATTATTATTATTTTGTAATACGATGTTAATATCATCATTACTGGCCGTTTGACCGAAGTGCGAATTGTGCGTAACCCTTGACGTGCCGTTGTAACCAAGTTGTCTGCACACGACTTGGCCTTCTCGCGCGTCCCATTCATCATCGCAAATGGCACCCCATTTTCCTAGGTGCATTATCTCCACGTTACCTGAAACAATAAAAAAAAGCTATAAAATCGAAAATTTAGATCTCTAAGACTAACCTATGATCGGTGTATAAAGTATTAAGCGTTTTCAAAATGTACTTAATATATACGTAATAACGATAGTTATTAATTTTATTTTAATAATAATAATGTATCATAATTCTATAGTAGTTGAATATATTTTAGATAGAAAATATTGAATCTGATGTACATAATGTTTTATAATAACAATGTTTAATTTCATCCTTTGTCGCTTTTTTTCGACAATTTAGTAGTTCTAATACCAAAGAAATGTGTTAAAAAATTATAAAAACTATTGTTATAGTTAGTAGTGCATTATTTCAAACAATTTTATAATTAAACTCTTAAATAAACTTAAGTTCGTCTCGTTATTTTAATCCTTGAAATTTTTGTCACGGTGTAAGTTTTTGCACGTTATCTCAATTGAAGACTATAATATTTAAAGGACACAGATTCCAAGCAAACAATTGAAATGAAACAAGACTTCTCTAAGTACTAACTCGAGAAAAAATTCAAAGAAGATTTTCTAAGCCAATAGTGATAGCGGTATGATCTCACAATCAATGATTTTAGTTGTGTGGTTTTAAGAGAACAATATGTTGAGCACATTATATTTTCAAAGGAGCACTACGTTTTCTTGATGTTATAAATTGATTTTTTTTTCAATCAACGAAGTCCTCATAAGCTTCTCATTAATAAAGCATCGTACATCGGTTACACAGGTTTTGGTTGAAACATAAATGTTTAGAAAAATAGAGACTAATATTGTTAAACCGATGTGAAAATATTATTAACCGTAAATTGTGTAGGTATATCGTTAAATGTGTAGCGCGCCAGTCGTATAATGGTTACCTATGAATACAAAACATATCGTACATAATACGATATGGGAATGTGATACGCCACGCCTGCCTTTCTGTATTTACGACCACTACATTGTAACCGCGGTTAGGTTCACCTCGCGATTATATTATTGTAAAAATATTATAAAAATCGAATTGCTCGTGCTAGGCCGACTGCGACGACTTTTACGATCGCCCAGGAACGCGTAATCGTATTTTGATTACACCCGCTCCGTGTAGTGATTGTATTATTATGCTCTTAACGTTCGCGATCCCGGCGCAATAAATAATAATATCAATATCGTAAATACATACAATATACATATATATATATATATATCAATTGTCCGAGCCGCACCGCACACATCGTCCAGCTCTCTTGTTCCGCGCGAATTCATTTTATTTCTATATACGAGACCAATAATTATTGCGGACCGTCACGGTTTTATTTGACAGTGATATTATTTTATGTTTACACTTTATCGTTTATGCACGATAATGAATGATGATTTTATTTATGTTCAAACGATATATTAAACAGAGTTACTCACCATAAATGCTTATAACCATTTTTTCATTTAATAATGATTTTAAAAAATGTTGATTAATTAAAAATCTAGTTTTTCGTATATCTGTGTACGTATTAGATTTTTTGTGTATTATTATTTTTCTATTACCTTGACCATCTTTTAAAGTTTGTTTACCTCAATATACGACTTACGATATTGGCTTTTATGACTTTAAATTGTCGAAATCTGCTGATCATATTCATTATGATTCATAATATAACATAATTATGCCATTTTAAGCACATTTCTTGAATATACTATTGTTAGCCATTACAAAAACGAACGTAATTATTCTTCATCAACTGTTATTAATTTTTTTTTTTTCTAAATTCTTACCAATAAAATATTTTAACTCGATAAGATTTATTTATAATGTATATTTATGTACAAAATAATTCACCAATCATTCTTTATACCTTATTTTTTTTTTTTTTTTTTTTTTTTAATAATGCAGTTGTCCGAAATCTGATTTTTTTTTTATTTAAAAAAAAATATTTTCAAATCCTTGATATATTCTGTATTACCAACGGGTTGTTATGTAAACATAAAATGCAACCATCTGTTATTCAAATGAGATCTTTTTCAGATATAAATTATTTAGAAGATAAATTCTTCGAAAATGTTGACGTATCAAAATCAAAATTCGAACAAGTAGTTTATAAGTTACTTAACTGTGTGTGTTAAGGATAATAATTGGTTTATGATGATAAATTTAGAAGATTAAAGGCTGCAGTGAACTGAAAATATTATAGTTATGCAAAATTTATGTAGTGCAATAATCACAATTTTTAATATATGATCTTAATGTATATTTAAAACTTACAAAAAAAAATCAAAGTTTTAATAAATTAATCGTTAAAGGATAAATGAGGGCAAGAATATTTGGTGAATCATCCTGTATATATACTTATTACACTCTATATTTTCTAATCTGTTGTTCACCTACCGTTACCGACTGAAGTATCTAAATAATTCAGAATAATTTTGCTTAAATTTTGTACTACCTACCTTATTTATTGATCAAATAGTTTAGTAGCTATATATCATATAAGTCATCGCTAAAAGTTTAGTAGTACGAGGTGGTGAGGTAGAGAAATATTTTATCATCCCACGAATATATAATATACGAATATTTACCGCTCCTTTAACTATAAGCGCTTATAAAAGTTAAGCTATTTATTAAATATTGAACATAAATATATTCAAATTTATTCTGCATAATACATAATACCGTAATACAGAACATCAGGATTATAATTTATTTGAAAATCTAAAATTCAAGTTCATCATTGGCTATCAGTTTAATTAGAGAAAGTCGCAATTTTTAAAATCCATATGGATATATTACAATTTTTACATTGTATAATCTAGATAGAAACATATAAAATAAGGCGGGCCCGTGAATATTGCTTTGCTGTACATTAGATATTGATTGGGTCACAGTTATGAGAGTTTAAATTTGAATTCAATGTTTTATCATTGTATACGAAAAACAATTGTGAGTAGAGACGATATGCCAACCTGTTTCACTAAGTATATTTTATAACATATTTGTTTGATATAACTATTAAATTCATGAATTTATTTTGTTATACGATGGGTTAATGTAATTTTTTAAGAAAATATGGCATTTATTTCATTATTAATATTTAACTATTATATTATACAAACTTATATAACTTATAATGTAGTCGCATATTTATGTAAATGTGCAAATACTGTAAAAAAGTAAAAATAAGTTCATTGTATAAATAGATAATATCCTAAAATAATTGAAAAATATTATTGCATAATGTAATGAAATTCTTAACAATATAATATACGTAAAAGTTTTTAGTTAAAACAGAAATCGATTTTGTTGAAAACTGATTTAGCATAAAAATTCTCGTTTTTCCTAAATGTTAATAAAAGTACTGAGCATTTCATCCTCCCCTCCCAAAATATAAGATAAATCAAATTTACTTCCAAAAACCACTCCCACAGTTGATTATCAAAGCATTTTTACTGTCTAAAAGGTAATGACAGTCAGAAAAAAATATATATCATTGTAAAATCAATACATTCATCGCTAAGCGCAGAATCTAAGATTATGTCTTAAATTCAATACGCATTTCAAAAATTAGATTTCAAAAATAAATAAATAAGTTAACAATTATTGAAAAAAAATAAACTAGTACAGAATAATTGAATTAATCGTATTAAAATATCTCATTGTATTGTATAAACGAAGGATTTTTTAAATCTATTATTTCACACACGATAATATAGAAATTCATATAACTACGTTGACATTTTTTTTTTTAACATAATATACAACTGCAATAAAAAAATCAAAATGTTCTATGTATTATAATAATTGTTACTTTGTTCATATTTATTATAGATAGTTAAGTATATTAAAAATAATATGTTCAGACATTTTTTTCTCAAATAATTTGACCATATTTAATATAATTTTATCTATAATTTTTCATAAGTAGTAATCATCTTAAGGGTAATCTCTAATTGTTTCTACAACAAACGCATCAAATTATACTCACTCAGACACATAAATAAATAATAATCACCAACACACAGTGATTTAAGTCCTTGACTTAATGTTAATTTCAGTTACGTATACGTATAATACGTTCAATATTCTGTTACAAATAGGTACCTATTACCTCATCCATACTCAATACTGTACCAATTTGCCCCGTCGCGTTTTCGATTAGACCAATTAATTACTTTCCCGTAACGCATCGCGATTCTACAATCGAATCATAGCCGTTCTAGTATCTATTATTCTCACTATAAATCTTTACGAGTCATTTGACGTACATCAGTAGACCTAATTTTGTACTATTAAAACGTGATCTATAATGATACATTCGTTCTGCAAAACTCAAACGATCGGAAACGCTCTAAAATAATATGATATAGGGATGGACATAGATACACATTTATCAAAGAACTTGCCCCAAATATGAAGGATTTTCAATATCCAATATTGTTCACACCATTTGTTTTAACATTATTATCTAACATATCGTGATAATAATTGATAAGCCCGCGATGCACAAACGTCATCAATCATGCATGATAACAATATAATATATTGATTTAAAATTATTACGCTTGATTATGCATTTCTATCGTCTGGGTATCTTAATTGAATATTGATCGGGTTCTTGGTCCGATTGCCTCTATATACCTTTAGACCAGGCTCTGGACGAACAAGTAAATATAATTGTACATATTTGTATGAATTTTACACAAACGTTAAAGTACGTTTTTATATTATAATAATACGACACCAAATATAATTATTTTACTCCGATAGGTATCTATAGGTAACTTGTAAAATCGTCGTAAAGATTGATGAATTATGGATCGTCGCGACGTTTTACGACGACGACCAGGCGCATACAACATATAGTAATAACGTGTACGGTCGTGGAGCTGTCGATAACGCGTGGCGTCGTGTCACGTTTATGCTTAATATAATATAAAAACCAAGAGTGTAATATATGTTTTCTTTTTTACGATTGACTAAATAAACTACAGACGGGGAACGTGATTGTCGGCCGCAGACGGCGGTGGCGGCGTTGATGACGAAGACGGGATGGGCGCCTATATAATAATAACGTTCAGCCCACACGATTACCCGAATAGTCTAAAATCCCATACGACATATCTTTATTGCGTAATATCATATGTAGACACCTGCCTGTGGAATATTATCTTCGTGGACGTGTCGATGTGACGTGTATTTGACAAAAACCGCTTTCCCAAATACGGTAAACGCATTTTCGGCACGCCTTAACTCCCCGACGGCGTTCTGACTAATTTTAAGAGGGCTGTTTTTTTTTTTTTTAAATAAGTACAATATATTACCAATGTTGTTAATAGATCAAATAAAATATTAGGTTTCATCTTTAGACATTTTCCTGACTTTACGATACACGTGATGTTTTAAAATTCATATATTCATCTTTGGTTTGTTCTATTTGTGAATATGGATCAATAATCTAAATATAAATTTAAAAAAAAAATTGTATTATTTAAATGTTCCATGCCCAAGAAATTATGAATTCTTCGTACGGGCGCTCAATTATATCTATTCTGAATCTCAATACATTGGAACAAAATCTTTTAAAACAAAGATTTATACTTTCTGTATAAACTTATCGTCAGAAATATATTTTACTATCCTGAATTCTTAAACTAGTTTTTCTTCTATATTTCTATTCGTAGTAATTCAATTTAATAATAAATTCAATAAAAATTTTGTCTGAACATAGAAGTAACGAGTTATGCGAATCTCTGCTTAGAATGATGAAAACAATCAATGAATTCCAAACCAATATGTTCATCTAATCAAAAATTTCCCATTTAATGTATATTGTAATTTCACATTTCTATATTTAGTAATATGGTTATAGTCCAAAAGTATTTTTTATTTTTTATTATTATTTGTATTGTATTATCATCATACTAGTGTCAAGGAACGTTTGTTGTTGTTAAATAAACTTTGTTACTGGCCCTGCCCAAAAAAACATACCTCCTCAATGACCAACGATTTTTCTCATCCCTATTTACCACAATATTAAAATGAAAATTTCCCATGATATCATTCAAGTCGATATTTCGTTTGCTTTATTTTACAACAGATTAAAACGTTTCAATAAACAAAATACGCCATAGACTTTAATATGAGAAACTGTACGATATTTATATATCACCGAATACTGAGTTGGTATTTTGAAACAATAATTTATAACACTTTCTTTTTTTTTACTTTAATTTAATAATAATTACACATTTTCAAAAATGATAGTTTAATTTTTATTTTAAAATTTAAAAACAGAATATTATATTTTATATTGTTAGGTCAATAAAAAAAACCAAATGTTTTTAAAAACCCAAAAAAGGAATTAAGAAGAAGTAATTTTTTGCTTTAAATAATATTATTTGGTCATAAATTATTTAAAAAAAATATTAAGTCGTAATTAAAATAAAGGTTCGAGGTTAATATTAAATTACACGTTTTATTAATAAATACATCTTTAAACTATTTTAGCTATGCGTGTATCGTAACTGGTATTATTAATCTGGCAGCTATTATGTAATTTTATTGTTATAATTATTTAAACATTTTTGAGATACCTTCGTACTCGGATTCGCCGTCGACTAGCCTCACCATTCCCTCGAGACTTTTATGAGTTTTCAAATAGTTTTTGATCAAGTTTGCCTTCCAATGGTGCCTGTGCTTGACGGTTCGACGACAATCAACCGTCGGCTCGAGTAGCGACAATAGCCCCAGCACCAGCATGAATGTAGCCATCAAGACTTCAGCCACCGGACGACAACCGTTGGACGTCTGTAAATCGTAACCGCGGTAACTTAACGTCACGAGTATGACCATGTCGTATTATATGCTAACTGTCGTGGACCGATTGATGTTTCAGCGGTGAGACAGGCGGACTACTGTGTCGATGGTCGTGTGGTCTGCAGGACGAAACCGATATGTCGTCTCGGATTTTCGTTCCCACCATCACTACCAATTACAAGTAAAATCTTAGAATAAATATTACCATAAGATGAAAAAAAAAATGAACAATTCACACATAGTCAGCTGCAGCTGTCGCCCACTTAAATTAACACTGTAGTAAATGTATACAGTGTGATATCAAACAATACTATTTTAATAACTTGTATTTCAATTTTTATTTTCGTTTTTTCCCCACGATTCAATTAAATTCTAAAATTTAAAAAAATCATTACGCGTGCTTTAGAATTAAAACTTTAAAATTATTTAATTCAAATCTGAAATATCCTGAACGTTAAGTTATCGGACGGTTCGCAGTATTAAAAATCACCCTGCGCAAGACGCAATATAATATTACCATAGTCGATCCCGATTAAGATGTAAAGCTAGACGATTGAGAATAGTGCGCAATAGTCTTACAATTGTAATAATATAACGTTGACTATGATTAGTGGGTAACGAAAAATGAGGATTTCGACTTATTTAGTATATAATATTATAAGGTTTGTCGTAAGGTCTGCAATACCGTAATCACTCTGTATAAAACGTATTTTGACACTGCGTGTTTGTGCCGTTGAAAAAGAATAGGTCATGGTTGTCATATACATATCGTTTTGGATTCGTAGGTGCAGCACAATAATAATTTATCACTATAATTGTATCGTCGATAATGCGTTTAGCAGATACGCGAAGACGAGCGAATTCGATTACGGACACTATGACCGCTCTATTTCATTATACATTATTATGTGATGACCTTATGTTATTATTAAACGTCCATGTTATACAATTATAATAATACGTATAGACGTATGTATAACAACGTGCTTACTTAAAACTGTGAAACTAATCAAGTCGACGATAGCGGCGGCGGCGATTCGTCCTGCGCGCGCGGTTCGATCTGTATACGCGTTACGCCGTTGTCAGTCGGCATTCAATTTTAAACTCGTCCCGAGCTTTTGTGTTTAACAACAATCGTACGAGTGACTGCAAACAACGTGATATACACACATATAATACTATTTTACCGTGGCATGATAATATACTAAAAACACGCATTATTTTCGAGGATATGAACTCGACGAAGATCGGCACGCATTCAACGGCTCTTGGCTAATATAAATTTGTACACGCATATACATAATTCATGCGCGCCTATCATATAGCTTTAGTGAAAATGCCTCGCAATTTTTTCGGAGTAGATGGAAAAAGAAACTATAGAACAACGCACAAAAAAAAAAGTGGTACAGCGAAAACAATGAACCGAACGAAGGAGATAGAGACTTCTTTATTATTATTATCTCGTGACTCGAGTTGAACGCTTTTTATTTTTGTTTCCGTTTTAATTACTAACCAGTTACGCGTATGCGTGACATTTTCATGTTACTCTGTTATTAATTGTTATTAAAACAGTTGGTGTTTTGTTCTTTAAATACAAAAAACATTAAGCATTTTCTATTTAATTCTCATCAAAAACGATGTTTAAACATTATATTTTGCACCAACTATCCCTAATTGTTATATGAATACGTGAGAATACCTTAAAACGAAACAGTTCATTATAAAATAAAATGTAAAACTAAATATGCATTATCTTAATTGATTTAATAATAATATACGATAGCGCTGCAGGGATTTTCAAGTATATAATTTATGCAAAACTACTTAATGTAGTATAATATCACGTGATGGGAAATAAACTATTCAGTTCCTTAAGCGTACATTCTGAAGTTATCAAGCATTATGATATTATCACAAGTTAATAAGTATTAACAAGTGTTCCGATGTGACATCTCCAAACATTATGACTTTAATAATAATAATAATAATAATAGTGATGTTAACGTTTTAATATGCATTATACGAACTATGGTTACTGTGTTGAAATTATAGAAGACGATATTTCGAACACGAGTTGTTTCACAGTTGTTATCTTTACATTTTTCTTCTAGGGCTTCTCGGGAGCTGTGTGATCATTTGATATTGGCATGCGGTTTTCTTTAATTCATCGATTACGTAACACAACATGTAAAATGTATTATCTTTGCGGTCATAAATAACTCGTAATGCGTCCATAATATACAAAGTGACAACTTTACTATTCGAATATAATTTTAAAAAAAATGTGTATAATTCCTAACAATGTTACATTATATAATATGATGTTAATTTGTAAAATTACAATTTAATTCATACATATGAAATTCAGCGTATATTTTACATACCATTATACCTAACACAATGTAAGATCCTTTTTTTATAAAACGTTGATCGTTAAGAACTAACAACATTTAAAAACAATAAATCAAATATCTGGCTTTAGGTTATATTGCTGCCCGATAACAGAAATAATTAATTGACAATAAAATTAGACGCATCGTTGGATCCGTCAATTTTAACAATTTATTTGTGTTCACCGTCGACTGCTTGGAACGTGCAAAATTATATGTGTATAAGTTTTGCTCAATCTGTATAAATATTATCATAATTATTTTCTTATATCGTATCGTATTAATTAGTGTTGTTTTGATTATTGAACTTGCAAATGTGTATATCTTTAGTGCGCTTTTAGTGAAAATCTGTGAATTATTTTTTTTTAGTTGTATTTCATTGTTTTTTATTTAATTTTTATTATTTCATAGGTTTAAATCACTACTTTTTTATTATTATAATTATATAATTTAACTATGCACTCATAACCAAATATCCATTATTTATGACATTTATATAGATGAATCTATATATTTGTTAATATATTATATGTGTATGCGCTAATCATCGCGGTTGTTAATATTCTATACAATAGTCAACTTTTTCAAAATATTATATTTTTTATAACTACGATTGTTATATTTACTCTAATAGACAACAGCTATTACGTATCCTTCTATTTCATCATACATTATATATAAAAAACTGTACTAAATACCGTGAGTGCAAATCACCAACTTAATTATCATAATTAACGTGTATACTAAATGTTCTAAATTAATCGCCACGTAAGCTTTTTACTATTATAGTAAAAAATACTCATGTACGCTAATCGCTGCAATTGGTGATTGTACAAGTCTGAGCTTCACCAAGAAATTGTATTTATTTATTTTTTGATGCATTATTTTTTAGACCAATGAGACAGTCATATTTGATTTATATTGTTCACCTATTCTTGTCGCTGTAAATTATACATATTTTATTACTTTTTATCAATAATATAACAACGAATTACCATTATTTTATAGTTTCAAATATATACATGTATATAATATTCACATATATACACTTCACCGCATACAAACACTTGCTGATCTTACTTTGCAAACTTCTCCACTTCTTTTGAGTAGTGCTACAACACATATATGCTAACGAAATACAATGGTCGAGTAATGAGTAGTGCGAATAATGATGCGATACAAAATATTTCTGTGATCGGGCTCGATGCGTATTATTGTTCGTTCCCAGGCCGTACAAGTGATAACAATTATACGGATATAGGTTTACTTTTGAATATCAATAATTTATAAAAGTTTCATCGATACTTGGGGAAAAATTAAGACGATGATAAAATCCCGTATACCATATTAAAATAACCAAAAATTAATTCTTCAATGAATTATAATTTATAGTATTTACTTTTAAAACAATCACCTTAAATATATTTCAATAAACGCCAGCGACAACACTTCTGTTTGAAATTATAATACTTAATATAGTAATATTTGAATATAATTGTTTTATTGTTTATGTGCTAATATTTACTTAGCGATCCTATTTTGAAATCAAGATATTCGGGATATAAACGGTGTATGATATTTATTGTACACCATTGCAAAGTGTATGCAAACTCCGTTGTAATAATAATATACAGTGAATCGAAGAGACGTTGCGGCGACGAATAAGCCCTGTCATAATATTTCGGCTACACCGAAGCCGACAAATTGTTGTTACTTTGATAAGTGAACCATAGAAGACAGAAAACGGCTTCACAGCCGAATAACTGAAATTCTCAGTTCAAATGCACGTTACACAATGGAATTTCATATCACCTTGGAGAAAATTATCAATAAGTATTTAATATAATATATATATAGTATATTAGTATATATAAATATATGTTATATACATATATATTAAACATCCCATTGTTGTCTCTGGACTTATACCATAAAGCCCGACGTTACCAAGTGGGTAAGATGTCATTTTATTATACATGAACAATCATCGTATTTACAGCTTAATGCACTGGTATTAAGTAATAAAAAATTATAAACCTGTACTTAAACGTGTTATATTTTTGTTCCATACTTATGACATAAACATAGAGACTTCAATGTACATATTAATTTATTTTTTTCACTACTGTCATTCTCTCGTCGTTATTATGTGATAATTCGATTCATATTATCTTTAATTAGATTCATATGTAGAATGATGTTTTTTTTTTTTTTTATGTAAAAAAGAATTACAGTATAATATATAACTTTACTTAATGTACAGTAAATAATTTTGGTGACAAAAAATAAATAAATAAATAACATTAACATAGTGAATTATTGGATAAGCACACATAGTAGTATCATCCGATAAGTTTATTGGGCAAGACTCAAATAAATCTCTAGGTCAACATTTTTTTTAGCAGTCTATTAGAATTTTGAGAGATAATGAGAGAGGAATGAAGTTTAATTAGTGGTTAAAATGGTTTTGAATATTTTGTTGAAGTGAGCGGTAGTAACTTTTTACTGTCTGTTTAAGTATTTGTATTTTAAGGTTTTTGTAGAGATTATTATTTGTTGAACTTATATCATAGAATGGAGACAATTGTATAAAGACTAATGGACTAAAACTTGGAAGCGTTAAAGATTTAAAGATATCACCTGCATTTTCACCTTATCATGGATTTGCAGATTAAGAGTTTGAAGATGGTTGATAATTTGGATAGGA